TTTGCCGGCGCTTGGTTGGGCTATGACGGGATTTGAATGACCAGGGTGCGTCTAAGGGTTGTGAGGAATTGATGTTGGACCATAAGGGAATGAATACCCAAGACCTTGACTAGATCCATACTGTAATGAAAATACATGATCATATTCGAAATCAAGACTGAACTTTATATCATGGTTATTGAAAATTGGATAATTATTGAGAGCCTCATGGCGCAAATCACGTGCTTTAGTTATAACAACACTCAAGACCCATTTACACTTACAAATAATAGTCCCATTCACAACTTTTCCGACAGGCAAGCCATACGCGTACATTTCCTCTCTTGAAGTTGCGCTTGGCACGTTATGAAGTCTCTCGAGCAATGTCTCACGAGGTGAGTCTACTTGATTTTTTTTTAGTCCAAAAAGAGAGAAAACCTCCTCACGGCCCCACAGCGCACGAGGCCCACCAAATCTTATGAAATCGTCGAAATCCAATATCATCAAAGGAAAAAAAAGAAGGGGAAAAAATGTGTGTAATGGAATCGTTAATACTGATTAACCATTATAGGCGGCACTTCCCGGCCAGCTCCGCCGTGAATATGTGCTGAACCCTATCACGGCCCTTGCGTTCTTGACCTTGGGCGAGGAGCAGTACGTGCTCGCGGCCGAAGACACAGATATCAAGATCTACGATGTCGCGACGTCACGGCTTTGCGGCACATTACCTGTGTTTCATGGGCAGCCTATCCATGGGATTTCTGTGCCTCCCGCTGCTGGCCTCGATGGAAGCAGCCATGGCGCTTCCAGACGCTCCCCTCAGATCCTCGTTTGGGGCAGCCAAGCCGTTAAAGTTCTCCCTGGCCCCGTCGTTGAGGAGTTGATCGCTGCCAGCTCTAGGGATGGCAATGATTGCTCTCTTAACAAAACTCATGAGAATGTTGGATTAGGAGGCTCTGCACCTGAAGTCGTAGCTCCCGATTGGATATTTGACGGCCGTATCTCACCCTTCGACGACAACCGCATTGTTCTCCTCACAGCGCATAACGAGGTCATCCAGGGACATGTAAGTGCAGATCACAAGACACTCGTGCTGGGACGAATACAGTCGCCCTCACGGCCAGTCCTGTACTCGGGAAATTTCTTCTGGGTCGAGCGGGACTGCGTGCTTGTGGCTGCAGGGACCGTATTCGGCGAGATTGTGGTTTGGAAGTGCCATCTTAGCTCCAATATCGGTATTGACGGTGATTATCATGGTACCGGGGAGGCCGATGCGCAAAATGGGGAAGAAACAGTCGGTTGCGAGGTCCTATTCATGTTCTCGGGTCACGAAGGCTCCATTTTCGGCGTTCACATCTCCCCTGAGATACTCACGAGTACCGGGGAAACAATTAGATTGCTCGCGAGCTGTAGCGATGATAGGACGGTCCGGATCTGGGATATTACAGAACGAAGTGACGGGCATACCAATAAAGACAGCACGTACGAGACACAAATCTCCGACGCGAGGCAAACTGGGTTTGGCGACTCTATTACTGGCTCGGTAGGGGGACCCGATAACTCTTCGAGGTGTGTCGCAATGGCCATGGGTCATATATCCAGGATATGGCAAGTCGAGATTAATAGTCAAGGTCCCATTTCCAGGGGAGATACGATTGAAGTTTATTCATTTGGGGAGGATGCTACGATGCAAAGGTGGCATCTCGAGCTAAATGTCGGCCAGCTAACCATTCCAAAGACTCCCGAAATAGGGGTAGCAAATAGCTCTATTCGATCGCTCTCTAAGTTAAAGCACCAAGAAACTTTTTCAAACCACTACGGGAAGCAAATTTGGTCACACGCTATGACTATTAGGCAGCATGGTCTTCTAATAGCTACTGGCGGTGGGGATGGCAAGATAGCACTTATGGAGGGTGCCTCGGTTCATGCATCGAGAACTCTGGATGATACAGCGGACAACGTCCGTCATCACCCGCAGTCTATTCAAGAACTCGAAGTGTCCCCAATATATCTAATCGAAATATGCGAAGACAAGAGTATTAGAACTACCCCATCTATCCCATCTTTCAAGCATGGAAACGGGAAAGAAATGTTTCAGAGCTTTACATTCATCACTGGTGACAAATTACTCATCACAACAAGGTCAGGCCGCCTTTTCTTAGGTACTTTCAGGAGGAGACCCGAGTGGAAAGAGCTCACAATCCCTGATGCAACCCGAAGAACCATACAATCATATACTATTCTTAGAAGCTCCAGAAGAGCCTCCACGGCTTTCATTGGTGCTCCAAACGGCGAGCTATTCTATTACCACGAGGCCCGCGGCGATTCGCTTTGGTCGATTCACAAAGCGGAGCGTAAAATTACAGAAATCATCTGCCTTTCCGATACTTCGTCTCCTCATACTGGCCTCCACTCTGAAGGAGAGCCCGATGGGTATATCGAAGTTCTTGTCACAGTATTTGGGAGTACGACGGCGGAGCTTCTTCATCTTAACCAAAACCACGCTTTAGTACTACGAACAGAGGTCAAAACACCTAATGGATTCATCGTGACAACTGCCGCATGGTGTCATAACTACCTCATCCTTGGCTCCAGACACGGAAACATCTCAATATGCGGACTGGCTACCGATGGGAGTTACTCTCCTCTTTTAACCATGCAAGTTACGAATGGCGACAAGATTACATCTATTCTTCCGCTCCCTAGACACTCGGAGCATTCCCCTCGTTATTTCCTTACAACCGCTCGCGATGGGAATTACAGGATCTGCGAGATCCTCGATACCATGGATAACTTTCAAGTCCGCCTGCTGCACGAGACAAAACCGCCATTTGGGCCCATGCTCGAAGGGTCATGGCTGTTCGACAAAGGGGATGGGAGGCATGACCTGCTGCTCTACGGCTTCCGAGGCCAATACTTCGTAATCTGGAACGTGACGCAACAGAACGAAGTCGCGACCATCGACTGCGGCGGTGGCCATCGTGTGTTCGATCAGGTGCAGATAGAGGGTAATCCCGACGGATTCAGGTTCGTCTGCACAAAAGCATCACAGATGAAAATCTTCTCGCAGACGCGTCCGCCGCATCTGCCGTTGAAGATCGGCGGACATGGCCGTGAGATCAAGAGTGTGTCGGCCGCCTCGCGGAAGTACGTGGCTACAGGCGCCGAAGACACCATGATTCGCATATGGGATCTTAGCGAAAGAGGCAGGGGAGCGCAGCGGTTTCGCGGTGTGCTTGCCTCAGAAAAACACAATACAGGCATCCAGAAACTGAAGTGGTATCAAGATCAGTATCTCTTCAGCAGTGGCGGGAACGAGGAATTATTTGTCTGGCGCGTTACGGCCCTGGAAAGCGATATCTGTCCGCTCGGTGTCGTATGTGAGGCTGTATTTCCTGACCGCTCTGAGGTGGGTGACTTACGAATTACGGATTTTGATGTGCAGTGTTTGAACGAAGAGGCTGGCACTAATTGCGAATATGTCGCTATCGAATCGGAGAAGTCACGGCCCGAGCCTGAATTCTGCATCTCGATGACGCTCTCGAATTCTACTATACAGAGTTATCTCTACTCCGGGCAGCATGGATTCCGGCTATTGGGGAGACGCATGTATACCGGCGCATGTCTCGCGCAGCTTAGACATCTGAATTTCATTGATCGATGCTACCCACAGGTTCTTGTTGCTGCCACTGATGGTCATTTAGCTGTATTTACACAGTTACAGACCTCTGGGGCTGAGACTAAGGATTCGATGGACATACTTGTCACGAAACTCCACCAAAGCACCATTAAATCGCTAGATATGCGTACCATCACCACAGAAAGCGGGACCTCGCACTTGGTTGTCACAGGCGGCGATGACGATGCGATCGGGATATTACATCTATACTCCCCTTTTATACCTCCATCCTCCGAGCCGATATCTATACAACATGTCAATGCAGGCTCCAGCACTCTAGCAAATCCCACCCCCTTACCCCCCCAAGGGCTGGTCTCTGGTTCATCCTCAGAGCCATCTCAAACAAAAGATTCATCGCGTATCCCTCAGCCCGGTACTTGCAACCAGAGGCAAACCCAGTACGAGATCCGCAGCAAATTCATCATCCGCTCCGCTCACGCCGCCGCAGTGACAGGTCTAGGAATCGTGCGCCTCGAGAACGAAGAGCGGGACGCGGTGATCACCACCGCAAGCAACGACCAGCGAGTCAAGACGTGGCGCATTGTTGACTGGAGATCTGCCTCTCCTAAGGTCCACCTGGTCGACGATCAGTATAGCGGCGTCGCAGACGCGGGGGACCTGGAGGTTGTGAGGGAGATCTATGGAAAGGGGGATGATAAATTTCGGGACACGAAAAACGGAGAAAGGGTCTTGGTTGCTGGCGTTGGTATTGAGGCTTGGGGAGTGTCTTGATCGTGCATAGAGGCTTGCTTGAAATGTAAAAGTTCCGTCCTGTTGGGGGATATCTAGACATGGAGTAGAGAATCATTGTATGCTCTAAAAAGCAATAGAAGTCGGTGATAGTTTATTCTATGTTCTATGATCCCTTGAAGTCATTGAGACATGGATGTACTGGAGTTTAATGGTTAAGCGTGGGTCATAAGCAGGCGTGCGTAGGATCATACCAAGTGCTAGACCTACCGCCAAGGGCAGACAGCAAGTCTACGTCGAAGTTGTAGGATTGTGTCTTCTATACTCAGCATGGTGAATAAGTGTAGTAGTGTTGATTGGTGTTAAGAGGATATATCAAGGCACTTGGTAGGAGTTAGAGAGGCAGTCATGATAATCATAGTTCCCCAGTCTCTCTACTGATCCCATATGGCTGACAGAACTATATAGCCATTGAATGATGACAAACTATAACCTGACAACGATTCTCGCCAAATATGAAGTAATAAGGGGGATATTAATGTTGCAGAAATAATGACGGTGATTCAACATGGAACCATCAAGACGGCGCTTCTAGGTATCACCACGTCCCTTCTTACTTGGGCTTTCTCGTTTTGAGCCGAGCCAACAGGGAGTTTTCGTGGCCTAGTGGTTATGGCATCTGTCTTACAAGATATACTACGTATGGTTTGAACACAGAAGATCCCCGGTTCGATCCCGGGCGAAAACATCATATTTGGGTATCATGTGAACTATTCATTTTGGCCTTTTTATATATCTTTTTTCTTCGTGGAGGGAGGGTTTATTCTTATCATGTACCCCGTATACTACATATTTAGCTTAGCTTTGAAAAGTGGGTCTGCATGTCTAAGACAAAGCTTGAACGGATACAACAACACCTTGAGCAATACATCACAAAATGAGCAACACAGCAGCCCGTACCTTGCTGCGGCATGGCTTCGTACGGCCACAGACCGGGAGGATGTGTGTTTGTTCAATTGACCCTCTACGTCTCCTCGCTAATGTTCTTAGTAGCAGCTACGACGTAGGACGTGCAACGAACGTGGGTGCAACAGTTCCCTACAGCGCTCCCTACAGCACCAGGCCGATATGCCAGCGTTGTAAACGACGACCGCTCCTCGCGTCCACTGCCCCCAGGTCATCGCCGAGCCAGCTATACTGCGTGCGAAGCCTCCATGCGTCTCCGGCCCTGTCCAAGTCGAAGAAGAAGGAAGAGCCCCAGAAGCGCGGCAGATCGACCGACAAGCCCGCCGACAACAGCGCCGCGGACGACGCATCGAAGCATCCCCAGCCGTCTCCCGACGAGCCGCTCAACTTCGCCGACGTGGAGTCGCGGCTGCAGAAGCACGCGGAGCACTTCCGGGCGTCGCTGAAGAAGATGCAGACGGGCGCGCGGTTCGACCCGGACGTCATCGGCGGCTTGCAAGTGACGATCAGCAAGAAGACGGGCGAGGCGTACCCGCTGCGCGAGCTGGCGCAGGTCGTGCCGCGCGGGGGCCGCGCCGTCTCCCTGCTGGTGCACGACGAGGAATACGTGAAGCCCATCATGAGCGCCGTGCAGGCGAGCCCGCAGTTCAACCAGCAGCCGCAGCGCGACGCCGACAACGAGCTCGAGCTGACCCTCAAGGTCGAGCCCGAGACGCGCGAGGACCTCGTCAAGAGGGTCAAGGCCGGAGCCCACGAGTGGCGCGAGCGCGTACGCGCCGTCCGCCAGAAGAGGGACAAGCTGCATGTTACGTGGAGGAAGGACGGCTCGCTTGGTCCCGACTTGAAGAGGACTGCTGATAAGGACCTGGACAAGATCATCAAGGCTGCTATTTCCGAGGTTGACGAGGCTGAGAAGAGCACCCTGAAGGCCTCGGAATAGAAACAGAGCGCCCACATAGCACGGTTATCTAGATGCATGATCTCGAAATAAATAGAGTCGATGGCCTAGAATAGATACCATGTCTCAGAATACATGTCATTATATAAAGCCGTCTTTTACAAAAGTGGTATGATACAGTTAGGGCTAGACGAGAAATCTCATGCCTCACAAAGACATTCGCCCTCAGTGTTTATCTATCCCACATCTTCACTCCAGTGTTTATAGTCTCGGGACAGCTTCGCTCATCTCTAAGCGCTTGCCCTCGCTCCACCGGCAGCACTCGCGGGTCCCCGTCGCCCACCAGCTAACAAGCTCCTGACCTTCTCCTCGATACGTCGCTCTGCATCCGAGCTCCACGAGGCCTCCCTCTTGACGTAGTTCCGCACAGCACCAAGCGTATCTTTTAGGTCGGCGTACTGCGGGCCCTGGTACGTCCCCAGCAGCGCGCTCTGCAGAACCGCATCCTTAGTCTCCTTGGGGACGGGCGGGAAAGCCTCCAGACCCATTGCGTCGGCCGAGAACTTCTTCGTCTCCTCGTTCGGGAAGAACACGCCGCTGCCCGCCTTGTACCGCCTCCACGTCTCGTCCAGCGAGGACAGGTTGAGGGGGTGGAACGGCTGTCCGCTGCCGAGGATGCGCGCCTGCCGCATCACCGTCTCGTCCTTGGCGACGCGCGATCCGGCCGTCGCCACGGCCGGGCCCCAGCCCGCGAGATCGGCCAGCGAGATCGACGGGTCGAACGGCTGCACCGAGCCGACCTCCCTCGTCTCGCGCAGCGCGAGGACCTCGGGGGGCCACTTGTCTTCCGCGGGGCCGCTGTCCTCCTCCTTCTCCTTCTGGTTTCGCTTGCGTCCTCCGCGTCCTTCGCGCCCCCCCGCGCCCGCGCGACGACGGTTGGGGAGTGCCGCTCCCAGCGTACGACCCACGCCCATCCGTCCACCTGGCATCATCGCTCCGCCCCTGCCTAAGAAGCCGCTACGGATGATCTTGGGGCCGCCTACGTGGGGAGCTATGGGACCTGTGAGCCGGCCGGATGCGGACCGTAGGTCGAGTTTTCTGGGGGCGACGAAGGGGCTGCCCGGGGGTCGTGGCGAGTCCTCGCTGCTGTTCAGGTCTACGAGGTCGGAGAATGCCGCGGCGGCACGTTGCCTCCCGGTCGGTCTGCTGCCGTCATTATCGTGGTCTTGGCGGGGAGGCACGGCGAGTTGCTGGGCGGTGGAAAATGCGCGGACAGAGGCTGCGATGCCCTCTGCGACTCGGCTGAGGTCGCCCCTCGTGCGGCCGACAGCCGAATTGAATGGTTGACGTATCATCGGGCTCGATTGATGTGGTTTGTGGTTTTGGGTACGATTTAAGCTCTCTTGTCCGAAATTTGGAGGACAAGAGACAACCCTCTCGAGCCGCTAAAATTTGAGAGTATGCACTAAACCGAGTTTCTCGTATAGAGGGGCGTTTTCACCGCAACATTGAACAAGAGGAAAGACCATGGTGTCAAATGCTACACCTGCCCTTTCTTATCATCTACAAATAATAATTAAGAAGAAATCTGATTTCATGGGATTTTATTCAAACCATTAGATACAGTTTTGATTCACTTTTACGTGCCCTTGATACCTTAACTCCTTGGTCCATTCTCAGCTCTGCAATGCCTTACCCATGCCGCCGTATGTGATCATCTTGATCTGCTGGTACTCCTCTATTCCATACTTAGATCCCTCTCTGCCAAAGCCGGATTCCTTGACACCTCCAAATGGTGCGGCCGCATCAGAAATAATACCCGTGTTAACGCCTACCATGCCCACCTCCAATGCTTCAGCCACCCTGTTTATCCTCTCCAGGTCCCTCGAGAAGAAGTAGCCTGCCAATCCAACGTCGGCAGCGTTTGCTAGGTCCACAACCTCCCTTTCAGTCTCAAAGCGGAAGAGACCTGCAACGGGTCCGAATGTCTCTTCATGCGCGATAGCCATGTCCTTGGTCATACCCGTGATCACGGTAGGTTGGTAGAAATTGGATCCTAAATCCGGCATCTTCTGGCCTCCCACGACGACCTTTGCGCCTTTCTTCTCGGCATCCCTTACATGAGCATCGACTTTAGATATAGCACGATCGTGTATTAGGGGCCCGTGAGTAACGCCCTCATCAAAACCATGGCCCACTTTGAAGCCCTTGACGGTTTTGGCGAATTTCTGAGCGAACTCATCATAGATGTCTTTCTGGACATAGATACGGTTCGCGCAGACGCATGTCTGGCCGGACGAGCGGAACTTAGATGCGATGGCACCATCAACCGCAGCGTCAACATCAGCATCGTCAAATACGATGAATGGTGCGTTTCCACCCAGCTCCATGGACAAGACTTTCAGGCTCGATGAAGCCTGCTTCATCAAGAGTTTCCCAACTCCCGTGGAACCTGTAAACGAGACCTTTTTGACAGTAGGATGCGTTGTCAAAGTCTCGCCAACCTCGGGGGTGTTTTTAAGGGCAGTGATGACATTCACGACACCCTTAGGTATCCCAGCTCGGTGCGCAAGTTCCGCCAATGCCAGTGATGTAAAAGGTGTCTCACCTGGTGTCTTACATACCGTTGTGCAGCCTGCAGCGAGGGCTGGGCCAATCTTACGCGTAATCATCGCGGCGGGAAAGTTCCACGGTGTGATTAACCCACAAACACCGACAGGCTGCTTCAGTGTCATCACTCGGTTGCCTGGTATGGAGGCAGGTATAGTATCGCCGTATACTCGCGGCGCCTCTTCACTGAACCATTCGAAGAACTGCGCGGCATAATTGACTTCACCTCTTGCGTCTGCGAGAGGCTTGCCGTTCTCCAAAGTGATCAGCTTGGCCAAGTCCTCCGAATTCTCTATTACTAGATCGTACCATTTCCGTAACAGCTTGGACCGCTCCCGGCCAGTCTTGGTGCGGAAGGACTTGAATGCCTCGCTAGCCGCTGCGATAGCCTTTTCAGTGTCCTTGGCATCAAACTCGGGACAGGTTCCAATGACCTTTCCTGTCGCGGGGTCGTGGACTTCGAAAGTCTTGCCCGAGGCGGCTTTTACCCATTCGCCATTCACGTAGCAGACATCCGTCTTGAATAGCGACGAGTCATTGAGCTGAGTCGGTCAATTTCCCTAGTCAATTTCTCTCCGCTATCGATATGAGGCCAGGGCCCTTAAGGCTAGAAAGGACTCACCTTTGGAGACATTGTCGAAGCTAACCTTGATGCTACTAATGGAAGACTAGTTCTCTGAAATCGGGACTTAATAGCGAGTCGTGCGGAAGATGAAGCACTCTTATGTAGAGAATGCACCAAGGCCATGATTGAATTGGGGCGCAGGTAGTCGTTCTTAAAGTTCGAACAAGCTTGTCCTTCAGAGACGATAGGTACAGTCAATGACGATATCGGCACAGCTCGGCTACTGGCGATTAGCGAAGTGTGATGTAAGTAGATGCCGCGGCGGCAATTGCCCCGCTATCTTAGCCGCAAGACCCGCGTGCCTTAGGTAATCTACCCTAAACCACCATATGCGTAGACCTGGGTACGGTGTCGACCTTCTATTATCGGTACAAGGGAGCGGAACTACTTACCCGTACCGACTCCACTTCCATCCACACCATTAGAGGTAGGGACAACTAATAGTGTGGGTGGTTAACGCGCAAATGACGGTGCCACCAAGGTAGTATTACCTCTTGTAAATTATATACAAAGTTTGTACTACGGGCCAGACTTGTCTCCCTGCCTCATAATAGTGGAGAAGGAAGTAGAGTTCGCACGAGTACACACAAAATCCCCGAAGATGTAATGATTTAAACCACCTGCAGAAATTTTTATGATGGTGTATCTG